TCTCAGGGTCACCCACTGAAAAGAGGAAGGTCTTCGACAGGACAACCTGAAGACACACTTAAGCGTGTACACAGGCTTGAGAATATTGGCCGACGAGAGGAGTGGATCAATATATCCTAGCAACAGGCAGACTTGTGAATGGTTCTAATCACATTAGACTGTGGTTGTAGGGGACTGGCCAGCCAGCGCTACAGAATCAGAAGTTCACTCCCAGGTAACGAGGTTATCTCTATCGATGACTCTGTTAATTAAGAGGAAGAAGAAGTGCGAGTAGTTCATTATAAAAAAAAAAGAAAAGAGAGAAAAAAAAAAAAAATGATCGTTAGTGCAGCAAAGTCTGGCATATGAATCATAACGTCTACTTTAGGAATGGAGGCGGTCAGTGCAGCCTTCAGCTGACTGGAAAACCAGCAGTACACACGCATGTAATGATTGCAACTTAATCCCAGCGCGTGTTGAGATAGGAGCAGAGACAGGTTTGCAGAGGGGAAATCATCATCTCAGGTAGTCCTTTGGATATTTTCTCCAGGGCATAAATAAAGTAAAGAAAAGTAAAGATCCCTTTACACGCCCTTAGGCTGGAAAACCAGCAGTACACACGCATGTAATGATTGCAACTTAATCCCAGCGCGTGTTGAGATAGGAGCAGAGACAGGTTTGCAGAGGGGAAATCATCATCTCAGGTAGTCCTTTGATATTTTCTCCAGGGCATAAATAAAGTAAAGAAAAGTAAAGATCCCTTTACACGCCCTTAGGCGCATCGGATATATGGGAAGAGCACCCAGATTTTTACAGACCAATCGGCACTCGGTGGGTAATGTGGTCAGCATTACGCCGGCCGTTTTTACTTCCTCAGGACAGCCATCCTGGTACCCATTTGAGGCTGGGTCGACCTGCGACGTCCCATATCACGATACAAATTCACGTAGCCCGCAGTGGCTTTCGATCGCGGTACGTTGGATTACAAGTCAGTCACGCAACGCCTAGGGCACAAATGCGTGTTGGGAAATGAACAGTCAGACACAATGGCTAGTTCTGGTGGTGATGCATGACAAGCTAAATATTAGGGGGTTGAGTAGTCTCGAGGTATGGTGTCCGCCTCTAGTGCTGGAGGTCCAGGGTTCAAGCCACGGTGAAGGCTGGGATTTTTTTTCACGTGGACTTCTAATAATCTTTTCCTGGTCTCTGGGTAGTCAGATCGGACACCCGTGTATATTCTTACGCACGTAAAAAAAATCCCTTGGCAGTCAGAAATCGAAAAGAATAGCCTAACGGCGTTGACTGGGCAAAATTTGAAGTTCAAAATCTAGCCAAAGTATTTCAGGATCCTCGCCGGTGCAACGGAGTTCGTGCACTGGGTTGAAATTTTTTAGACTCAAGGCTTGAGTTAGAAGTAGAACGGCGTGCTTGTGGGTTCTGGTAATCTGGTAATCCTAGTTTGTGGGTTACAGCCGTGTACCATGCTGTTGATCCGTTGAATAAACATAAACATAAAGAAAAGAAACTAATGAAAGTATATATCTGTGTGGAACAATAAGGAAGAAGCAAACACACTGCTCTTTAGCCACATAATGAGAAAAGTGACATCGGAGAACAGCGCGACAACTGGAAAGATCCGTGGAAAAAGGGGTAGAGGCAGACCAACAGAGACTGAGGCTGGATGGGCTGAAACGATGGCATGGAGGGTTATCATCAAGAGAGCTGTTCCAGGCAACCAGGGATCGTGATCTGAGGAGATACATGAGCGCCTATGTCAGTTGACAGGGCACATGATGATGATAAACATAAACAAGCTAGATATTTTCAAGGCCATTTTGGGGCGTAAAAACAATGTGGAGCCCACCATCACAGATTTGAGAGAATAGTGCCGCAGTGTGTGAGCAGGTGAATTTGGTCGATACTTAAAACTCAAGAAAAGGCAAGAAGATGAGCATAGAAGATTGAGACTGGTCTTGTCTTGTCTTGTCTTGTCCACAATTGCCTCACAGCGTAGTGGGGAGTCGCAGTTTTCTATCCTGGGCCAGGTGTGTTGCACGTGTTGTTGTTAGTCCGTGTTGCCTCAGGATCTCTGAAATATTGTCTATCCATAGTACTCTCGGTCTGCCTCTTGCTCTAGGGCAGTAGTGCTGTTCGTTGTATGCTCGTAGAGGCAGTTGGTCGGTTTGCATTCGCATCAAGTGGCCAAACCACTCTATTTGTTGCTTCTTTATGTATTGCAGGCATGGTGTGGTTCCTACAATTGATCTAATGTTCTCGTTTCGAACTCTGTCTCTCCTTGTGACATTGGCAGCCTTACGTAGGCATCTCATTTCGCACGTCGTGATCTTTTTCCCTTGTGCTCTTGTTAGGGACCAGGTTTGGCATTGGTAGCAGAGGGTTGGTATAAACATGCAATTTATCAGTTGTCGTTTTAGTGCCATAGTGATGCTTGGGTGTTTTAGCAGTGGGGAGAGTTGGTAAGTTACTGCGTTCGCCTTTTGACATCTTGCCCCAAGTTCCCTATCAATTCTTCCATCCTCTGTGAAGATGCTCCCCAAATATTTAAATTGCTGCACTTGTTTGAGTTGTTCGTTGTTAACTTGAATAGTTAACTGGTACCACAGGAATTAGAACTCCTCGTTAGTTGCTGAAGATGAGGACAGAGTGTTTTTCTGAATACCCTGAGTAATGTGACGTTGGTTCTTAATTAAACTCAACTCAGCTGGTACCAGATCGTCTGTTCACTTTCGGCAAGACGATTTTCTTCAGATTATGATTATCAATGTGTGCATCCAAACTGTTCACACGTCCCTGAGTGCTTTGATAACATCTAGCTTGTCCTGCATTAACCATGTACACACACACACACACACACACACACACACACACACACACACACACTCGGAGTCATTAGCTGCTAAGTAAGTTCCAATCACATAGCTGAAATAAGGCGGGCGTTTGCAGCAATGAACCTCAAGAACTCTGAATGCTAAAGAAAATAGATCATCATGTATTAAGTGTTTTGCAGAAAACCGCTCCCAAGCAGTCCTCCGAAAAGACTCAGAATGTTGAATGTTGAATTAGGAATCGACATCACAGCACTTAGGACACTCCTATAAGTACTCCGTCCTCATCTTCAGCAGCAAGCGAAGAGCTCCAATTCCGATGGAGCCAGTAACCGTTTGATTGTATATCCGCCTCATCCTTCCCCTGAGTTTTGAGCGTCGGCCAGCTCCCCTCGTTACTACTCGCAGCGCTATTCTAATCACACAGTAATGAACTATCTGCGCCTCCGCACTGTTCCCTCGTTTCCAAAGGGCCCTCACAATATCTAACTTCTCATATATCAATTCACCACCAAGTGGTGCAGACCCGGCCAATTAATCTGCCTACTCATTTCCCAACACACGGGCATGACCTAGAGAAAATATCCAAAGGACGCTAACTACCCGGGACCTCTAAGGTGATGCTTGCCACTCTGCACGAAGCATGCCTGTCATCACATTTCTCAACATGCTCTGTGAATCGAAAAGACTCAAAGATTTCCAGTGTATCTGTCTCATGTCAGCGAGGTTCCCATATGTCCTGTGTCCACGTTTATGCTGCTCGGATCCTGCCTCTCCTTTCAGCACCAGTATTTTCCAGTTTTGTTATTAGCCCCACACCCCGTTTAATATAGTCATGTTGAACTAGGAATCGACATCACAGCACCCGGGACACTCCTATAAACGCTCCGTCCCCATCTTCAGCAGCAAGTGAAGAGTTAGAATTCCGATAGTACCGGTGACTGTCTGATTCTATATCCGTCTCGCCTTTTCCCTGAGTGTCGAGCGTAGGCAAAATCTTCTTGTAACTCCTCACAATGCCATTCTCCTCAGACCGAAATGATCTAATATCTAATTGTATTTAATATAGTTCAAATTTTACTAATATTTTGTGTATTGATCCGATGAACTTGATGACCTCAAGGCTTCCGATGTAGAACAGCTCAAGCAAAAGCCTAATTTTACAAAACGAAGAATAAATGCAAGCTTAATTTGTCAAATGAAGTAAAAAAGAAAGAATTCTCAAGTTATACAAATCCTACACTGATATACGGAAGTGAATCGTGTACATTTAGCCTGCTAGAGAAAGATTATATGAAAGCGGTTGAGATGTAGTGTTATAGAGGAATGATGAGAACACACTACATCTCAGAAGATCAGCTACAAGAGCAACAGGACGGCCGCGGAAAATATGGATCGACAACATTAAAGACACTCAACGCCTTTACGGCACGACAATAGCCAGTGGCAGTCAACGTGCACTGGATCACAAATTATTCCTTCCCACGGCGCTTGACAGAAGTGGTTTATGATGATGATGATGATTATGATGAAAACACACTGAACATATTTTAAAAAAAGCAGTGAAATTGTCCTAGAAAACAAAAATTATTCAAGAAAGAACTGATAACCAACATCTGAAAGAGATTATCTACACTCTTTGATCATGTCATGAGAAGGAGAAAACTGGAGTACATCGTGATGGTGGGAAAGATAAAGGGGAAAAGAGGAAGACGGAGACCGACATAGAATATGTCGGACATTTTGGCATTATGGCATTTAAGATCAACTTTATCAAAACTGACTGAAAGTACACGAGACAGAAGGTTGTGAACCGACATGACTAATAACGCCACACGGCATGTACTATTCTCCACTTGTTCGTGTTGTTTATGTGCTAGTGCGTGCGTCTTGCGGTCACAAGAACACTTTTTGGTTCACCTTCTCTAAATTTAACCCCATGGCAGCAGGAAGTGAGTAGTCACCGGCGCTATCGTCATGGGAAAACGTCACAATCTTTCTGTAACGTCATGCCTGGCAACGATCTGCCGGATTTTGGAGACTAGAGGAAGCTTGATCATCCTTCATTTAGTAACATCTCTGAAGGACGCAAGTGGCGCCGCGTTATCCGGCGCAGCGAAATTCCGTAGCCTTTCTGCCCGATTGTGAGACCAGCTTCGCGCTCAGCTCCCCAAAATGCGTGAATGCATCTCTATCCATCTGGGCCAAGCTGGGGCGCAGATAGGCAATTCCTGTTGGGAACTTTACTGTCTGGAGCACACGATTCAGCCCGACGGCCTGCTCATCTCTGAAGAAGCAGATGGGGGTCCGATTGACGATTCCTTCAACACATTCTTCAATGAAATCGGCGACGGCAAGTATACACCTCGTTCAGTATTTGTAGATCTAGAGCCAAATGTAATTGATCAAATCCGTTCTGGAGAATATCGCAAGTTATTTCACCCAGAACAGTTGATTAGCGGAAAAGAAGATGCTGCTAACAATTATGCTAGAGGACATTACACGGTTGGCAAGGAAATCCTGGATAGCGTTATTGATCAAATTCGCAAACTCACAGACAACTGCGAGGCCCTTCAAGGGTTTTTCGTTTTTCATAGCTTTGGCGGCGGAACTGGGTCAGGCTTCACTTCTTTGTTAATGGAAAGATTATCTGCAGATTATGGGAAGAAATCGAAGCTTGAATTCGCCGTTTACCCAGCACCACAGATTTCCAACGCTGTGGTGGAGCCTTACAACTCCATCCTCACCACCCACACAACTTTGGAGCACTCGGATTGCGCATTCATGGTGGACAACGAAGCCATCTATGACATATGTCGCCGTAACCTGGGAATCGAACGTCCAAGCTACATGAACTTGAACAGATTGATCAGCCAGGTCGTATCATCCGTGACCACGTCACTGCGCTTCGAAGGAGCCATGAATGTTGATCTGAACGAATTTCAGACCAACCTGGTGCCCTACCCCCGCATTCACTTCCCCCTGGCTACCTACGCCCCTGTCATCTCCGCAGACAAGGCCTGTCACGAAAGAACTACCGTCGCAGACATGACCAACGCCTGCTTCCAGCCAGCCAATCAGATGGTCAAATGTGACCCGCGCTGTGGAAGGTGAGTACACGAAACTACCCTTCTCTTTCTGTCCGTATCGACAATGTGGGCGCCTACTGTTGACCTAAAGAATAAATGAATGCATCCTTTTTCTCCCTTTCCTTCAGTGGTTTACAGTGATGCTTGCAATAAAAGCGCCTTTTTACCCAAAAACAAAAGTTCCGTTTCTTTGCTCGAACAAAACAAAAAAATTGCCACATTCAACCAGCATCTCGGAAGATGGAGCTTTAGGTTATAATTGTGACTAGGTTATTATCACAATCAAAATCACTTAGCACTGCACGCCACCAAGCAGCTCTGAAAAGAACTATTGCTATGTTGCTGATATCAAAGGAAACTGACCCATTTCAACAAGCACTCAAATAAGTCGCATTTTCCAAAGGCTTGCTCACAGATGGTGGTCCTAACAACAATGGTCGGAACACTCTTTCGCCATTTCTTTATTTTATCAACAGAGCTACGGATTCGACACAGGAGAATAAATGAATGGACTCTCCTTTCAACTTAGGCCGTTAGCTGGAAAGCCGCCGATCGCTTAGTGGGTGTTCTCTCCCTTGGCTGCATTGCAAACACGGAGCGGAAAAGTCACGAACGGAAAAAGACAGTGAGGTCGACAACAGGGCTGCCAATGCTTGGGTGTTTCCCACTAAGCGATCGGCGGCTTTCCAGCTAACGGCCTAAGTTGAAAGGAGAGCCAATGAATGAATCAATAGTAATTGCAGATAGTTAGCTCAGTGAAAAAGTAAAAAGAGAAAACGTCATCCCCGTGTCGGTTCCGTTGCTTCATTTTTTCAAAAAATAACAAATAGATCTACTGACCTTTAAAAACAAAATGTCGTAAAAATGGTATAATAAGGACCCATTTTCACGCCTTTGTGCGTATTGGGCACAGAGGGCTGAAACTATATTTTAAAAACCAATCGGCACTCGGTGGGTGATGTGGTCAACATCATGCCGGCCGCCTTTACTTCCCATGACCACACCTGATACCCACTCAATACTGGATCGACGTGGGAGGCAAGATAATTAAAATCCGGCTCCGTGAGAACCCGAACAAATGACCTTCCGAGAAATCGGATGTGATGAGCTGAAATGCGCAGATATCATAGCCTAGCTGGAAACCACAAAAAACAACGTACGAATCGCCTTTTTAAGTGAACGAAGAAGAAGACGTAGAAAGAAAGAAAGAAAGAAAGAAAGAAAGAAAGAAAGAAAGAAAGAAAGAAAGAAAGAAAGAAAGAAAGAAAGAAAGAAAGAAAGAAAGAAAGAAAGAAAGAAAGAAAAGAAGAAAGAAAGAAAGAAAGAAAAGAAAAGAAAGAAAGAAAGAAAGAAAGAAAGAAAGAAAGAAAGAAAGAAAGAAAGAAAGAAAGAAAGAAAGAAAGAAAGAAAGAAAGAAAGAAAGAAAGAAAGAAAGAAAGAAAGAAAGAAAGAAAGAAAGAAAGAAAGAAAGAAAGAAAGAAAGAAAGAAAGAAAGAAAGAAAGAAAGAAAGAAAGAAAGAAAGAACAGTGGGTAAAAGTAACTGTCTGGGGATTCAGAAGTTGAAGTAACAACAAGAACAGTGGTGGAAAATAAATGTCTAGGGAATCAGAAGTTGAAGTAACAACAAAAACCATGGGTAAGAGTAACTGTCTGGGGATTCAAAAGTATAAGTAACAACAAGAACTGTGGAGAAAAGTAACTGGGGATTCAGAAGTTGAAGTAACAACAAGAAGCGTGGGGAAAAAGTAACTGGAGATTCAGAAGTTTAACCTGCTGTTGGCAGCTTGGACTGCCAACAAACTTCGGTTATATTTATGGTCTGGTTTTTTTGGCATTCTACTTTCGTGGCTAAGATTATGGTACGCACGCCAGCTCTCTGGCTTTGTATTCCTGTCCTGATATAGAGACCGCTCCGTCCTGCCTTTGTACCCATGTATTCTTTGTATCTTTGTCTTCCTGGTGTTTTTCTTCCTGGGTCATTCTCCGTCCGGTTCAGTCTCCTCATTAGGTTTAGGTTTAGACAACGGATCAACATCATGACACAAGGGTAGCTGCCCATAAGTGCTCCGTTCTACTTCTGACTCAAGCCTGAATCTGAGGTATCTCAGCGCAGTGCACGAACTTTTCAACAACGCCTTAAAATGCTTTGAACTCCTTATTATCTTGCCCTTGTGTTCTCTATTGTGTTTTCGATTCTGTTCTTCTATTATGGCCAGGCGTATCTCGTAAGAGATCCAGCTAGATCTACATCACGTCCTTTCGGACCATCATTTATAGTTTTAACATCAGGGTTTTCTTCTTCTTCTTCTCTACGTCCACTTTTACCGCGTCGGGTATCGTGGGTGATATAAGGTCCTGCTTCGTGCTCCTCTGGCTGCCTCGACCATAGACACATCGTGGTGCTGTAAAGTTTCTCTGATGTTATCTTCCCATCTTATTCTTGGTCTCGTGCTCTACGCCCCCCCCCCTCCTCCTCTTTTGGTATATGCCCTGTATAGTACAGCATCAGAAGGCATCTCTCCAGGCGGGCAAACCATTTGATTTGCTGTCTTTGTATGTAATTTATAATTGGTTCTGTGTCTTGGTCTCGTATGACCTCCTTTTTGATGTTATCCATTCAGGTCACTCCTACAGTCTTTCTCGGACACCTCATTTTTTTATGTCTAGGTGCGAGTGACCACGTCTGGCACAGGGTGGGAATGAATATGCTTTATATGAGATGTTTCTTTGTGATGATTGGGACTGCCTTATGCTGTAAGAGGGATTCAGTGTTTTAATCTGCCAAAAGTACTGAAAACAGTTTTTGGCTTAGGCTAGATTGAAACTGCTGGTGTGTGCTTGCAGATATATGGCCTGCTGCATGTTGTTCCGTGGAGATGTTGTCCCTAAGGATGTCAACTCAGCCATCGCCTCCATCAAAGCCAAGAGGAACATTCAGTTTGTCGATTGGTGCCCAACTGGGTTCAAGGTAAGGGTCTTCCATACCTCACTGGCACTATCTCCTCCTCCTGGTTGCATCCCCACTTCCTTCTTCTTCTTTTGTTCTATTATTTTCTTCTACGTCTTCTTCTTCTGGCTCCTCTTTGTTCTTCGCCTCAGTGTTCTCCGTTTCTGACTGACTTTTCAACCCCACCAGGACATTACACTGACCGATAAACACCGGTGACTCAAAGTGCCACCTTTCGAATGAAATCACCCGTAGAGAGGTCCCAGAAACCCCGTTTAACCGTTAGGTTATATTTAAGCCCCCGGCAACACTCCGGGGGGGGGGGGGCGGCGGGTGGGTTAAAATAACGAAAAATACGTCCCGCATGGGAACGGAGACCGTAATTACTCTCCACTTCTTCTGTATCCATCTCTTTTCTTCATTCGAAAACTACCATTGCTGAATTTATTTACCATTTGTGGTATAGAAAAAACGCAATATAATAATAATACAATCTACAGAGCTAACAAAAGATACGAAACTATATTTGACTCCTCTATGCGGCACTTTTTCTTTTCGTAAGTGGTAGGATGAAAAGGAGCCGCCGTGATGTAGCGATTAGACACGCGCCAGCCTATTTGAAGGTCGAATGTTAAGTGCTAACAGAGCTAGACGTGAAAAAAAAAAAAAAAACTTTGGCTCCCAGGTCGACCCAGCCGTAAATAGGTAGCAAGCATACGACCTCAAACTGACTCGCCAGTAGACGACTTGTCGTTGGTCGGGTCAGTATTCGAATCTGTCTCCACTGAACGCATCAACGCTACATAAGTCCTTTTCAGGGCTCTTGGTATCGTGTAATGCTCAGCCATTTTATATGGCGCACATAATCTAGCCACAATTATAGCGTGTAGCTCCCCCTTCAATTCTTGTTGAACATGACGATTACCCCACCCCCCCCCCCTTCCCCCCCCCCCCCCCCCCCCCCCCCCCCCCCCAGCATATCACATACCTACCCAAGCGCAGTATGATCTCGCCGAGATAGATCGGACCTTTTTGCCTGATTCATTCTCATTATCTTGTCTTGCTCCGACTGTCTAAACCTAACTGATATCCCTCTCTTGCCAAGTATGTTTAATTTTGTCATGCACCCGATTCGTGAATGGGACAGAAGGGTAACGTCCTTTACCGAAATCCAAACATGTTTCACTGAATTTAATTTCTGCTAGTAACTGTCTTTATAACTCCGTCTTTAACCTTTATGATGCTGTATTCACAATTATCCAGACGTTATATTATCACAGTTGACGTCGCTGCCCAATGGGAATTCCCATGCTCGCTAAGTCCTCCGGTGCAGCAGCCACTCGAAGGTACCATTAGTGATTGTTCCCATGAGGGGTTGGGTATAGTGTCTCCTATCTCGGCATCTAAGGCAGCATAGACGTGCTTTATCATGATTTACTTCTAAGTCACGCCATCTTGTTAGCGTAAGAGATTTGTCATTATCCACTTACCTCGTCCGTACAGATTCGTTGAGAGCTGCTGCCCATTCTTTTTCCCACGTGCATTGGTGCACAGCTTGCTCATTACTTTTTACGCCGGCGTGACCAGGTGTGTAGATTTAAGTATGGAGGGGGGGGGGGATCAAGTGCAAATCAAATGCGTTCAACTCATATAGGGCGCGTATACTGACTATAGCACACAGCAATGCTAAAAGCATTTCATCAGCGTGTACTGGTCATCCTAGCTTGTAGTGGTCATCATAGCTTAGACTGGTCATCCTAGTTTGTACTGGTCATCATAGCTTGCACTGGTCATTCTAGCTTTTACTAGTCATCCTAGCGTGTACTGGTCATCCTAGCTTGTAATAGTCATCCTAGCTTCTACTGGTCATCCTATCTTCTACTGGTCATCCTAGCTTTTACCAGTCATCATAGTGTGTACTGGTCATCCTAGCTTATACTTGTCATCCTAGCTTCTACTAGTTCTTGCTTGTCGTCATAGGTTCTACTGGTCATCCCAGCTTCTACTAATCATCATAGCTTCTACTGGTCATCCTAGCATGTACTGGTCATCCTAGCATGTACTGGTCATCCTAGCATGTACTGGTCATCCTAGCATGTACTGGTCATCCTAGCATGTACTGGTCATCCTAACATGTACTGGTCATCCTAGCATGTACTGGTCATCCTAGCATGTACTGGTCACCCTAACATGTACTGGTCATCCTAGCATGTACTGGTCATCCTAGCATGTACTGGTCATCCTAACATGTACTGGTCATCCTAGCATGTACTGGTCATCCTAACATGTACTGGTCATCCTAGCATGTACTGGTCATCCTAACATGTACTGGTCATCCTAGCATGTACTGGTCATCCTGGCTTCTTATGGTCGTCCTAGCTGGTACTGGTCATCCTAGCATGTACTGGTCATCCTAGCATGTACTGGTCATCCTGGCTTCTTATGGTCGTCCTAGCTGGTACTGGTCATCCTAGCATGTACTGGTCATCCTGGCTTCTTATGGTCATCCTAGCTGGTACTGGTCATCCTGGCTTCTTATGGTCGTCCTAGCTGGTACTGGTCATCCTGGCTTCTTATGGTCGTCCTAGCTGGTACTGGTCATCCTGGCTTCTTATGGTCGTCCTAGCTGGTACTGGTCATCCTAGCATGTACTGGTCATCCTAGCATGTACTGGTCATCCTGGCTTCTTATGGTCGTCCTAGCTGGTACTGGTCATCCTAGCATGTACTGGTCATCCTAGCCTGTACTGGTCATCCTAGCTGGTACTGGTCATCCTAGCATGTACTGGTCATCCTAGCATGTACTGGTCATCCAAGCTGGTACTGGTCATCCTAGCTCCTACTAGTCGTCCTAGCTTGTACTGGTCATCCAGGTTTCTACTGGACGTCCTAGCTTGAACTGGTAATCCTAGCATGTACTGGTCATCCAAGCTTATACTGTCATCCTAGCATGTACTGGTCATCCTAGCTCCTACTAGTCGTCCTAGCTTGTACTGGTCATCCAGGCTTCTACTGGACGTCCTAGCTTGAACTGGTCATCCTAGCATGTACTGGTCATCCAAGCTTATACTGTCATCCTACAGGTGGGAATCAACTACCAGCCTCCAACAGCAGTGCCGGGAGGGGACCTAGCCAAGATCAACAGGGCCGTGTGCATGCTGAGCAACACAACGGCCATTGGTGAAGCATGGTCACGGCTGGATCACAAGTTTGACCTTATGTATGCCAAGAGAGCTTTTGTTCACTGGTAAGCAAACTTAAGCACAGAATCGGGTTAGGTCAGCTGGGCAGATGGACAGGGGGCAGGTGGGCAGATGAGCAGGGGCATGGGGCAGGTGGACAGATGAGCAGAGGGGGCAGGGGGCAGATGCTTGCCTGATATGAAGGTCCTGGGTGCATCTTCACACCCCCCTCCCCCACCTGACTCAGTTTTGGCCAGTTGTTTTCTCTCTGCACTCTTGAATGTTGAATGTTGAATGATGAATTAACAATCGACATTATAGCACTCGGGGCGCTCCCATAAGTGTTCCATCTCCATCTTCAGCAGCAAGCGAACAGTTAGTTGTTGGATTCAGTATGGCCAGTATCCAACTTATCGTGCCCGACTACTTCTATCAACGACAAACAACAGTTCTGGTGGCAACTGTTGGCTTTGGCGCCTCTAGCAACTGTCATATGCATTGACTGCGTGCGCCCCTTTCTTGATTGTGCCGGGACTAATTGTTCATTCACCAGTTTTTCAAATGGGAATTTCTGCGCTGGCTGCGGAAGATAAGGACGGAGCTCGCATGGAATGCCCCGAGTGCTGTGATGTCAATTCTTGACTCAACTCAACTCAACACAAATGGTAAAGTGGGAGACATTTCATTTAACTTTCACTGGCACAGGAAGGGAGCAAGGATGGGGTGACCCGATTGCAGCGAAATTAAAACCTCGACTAAAACTAAAGCAGAAGGTCATGGCTTGGAAGCTCTGAATTGAAAAAAAAAGAGGAGGGCGGGGGTGGGGGGGGGGGGGAGTTTTAGAGGTTTGAACCAGTGCATCCAAATTGACCCAGCCTAAAATGGGTACAAGGAAATGACCTGAAAATTTGAAGCGATTGGTGTGGTACTGGCAACATCACACACCGAAGGCTGATTGGTTTATACATTATGGGTCCACCGCCGTCTGTGGCTTAGGGATTGTTAACGCGTTTCGTAATGCGCGGGTGCCAGGTTCGATCCCAGCTTTAGTTGATTCGACAGCACACCGCCTTGCGCTGATTTTGAAAGTGGTATGTAGGATGTCGTGTTTTTTATTTTGGTGTGTTTCTTGGTCCCCGGTGTTCTCATAATTTTTCTATTTTTCTGTAGACTTTTACTTTAAAAGCTCCGTTTTTGTTCATCTGTGAATAAGAGTCCATAATCACATCAACGAGTTGCCATGGAAAAGATGCATGATCTCACAACCGTTATTGTAATTTGCTTGCAGGAACTATGGCATGTGTTTTTCATGCCTTTTATAGTCTCCGCAGTGTTGAAATTTCTTTTTTTTTTCTGACTATTTTTAAATTGTTGAATGTTGAATTTAGAATCGACAGCATAGCACTCGGGACACCCCATCTTCAGCAGCAAACGAAGAGTTCCAATTCAGATGGCACCAGCAACTGTTTGATTGTATATCGGTCTCGCCTTTTCCTTAAGTGTTGAGCGTCGGCCAGCTCCACTGGTAACTCCTCGCTGAGCCATTATCCTCAGACCGTAATGATCTATTTGCACTTCTGCACTGTTCACTCTCTTCCAGAATGCCCTCACAACGTCTATCTTGTCAAACATCAATTCACCACCAAGTGGTGCAGAAACGGCAATTCTATCTATCTGCTTATTTCCCAACACACCGCCATTACCTTGAAAATATCCAAAGGATACTAACTACCCGGGACCTCGGAAGTAATTGTATGCTCACTTATCTTATAATAAAGAACAAAACCCTGAAAGTAGAAGTGGAGCGGAATGCAAATGTTTGTTCTCTTATCTTCCCTACAGGTATGTGGGTGAAGGTATGGAGGAAGGCGAGTTTTCCGAAGCTCGTGAGGATTTGGCAGCTTTAGAGAAGGACTATGAAGAAGTAGGAATGAACTCCACGGAAAGCGGAGATGAAGAAGAACAGGAAGAGTACTAGAAGAATGCCCCCCAAGTCAACAGTAGCAGCACTAGTAGCAGCAGAAACATCAGCAACTCAGCTCTCCCGAACACTATCAGCATGAAACCGGAGTATCAAGACTAGGCTTGAACACACAGGGGTAACCACCAGCCAAAGCTTGAAGATATTTGTCCAACCAACCTTGGCTAAAAATGTGGAAAATTGAACATGCAAAAGTATGACACCAGAAACAACTGTCTTGTTGTGATAATTAATTGCGACAGTAGATACAATTTCACTACGGAACTGGGCAAGCGGTTCCACAACAATTAGGAACAATCAATATATAGCTATATCAGTTGAAAACAGGAGCAATTCCTACGACTAATAGTAATAAGTAATGGATCAAAGTTACCTTAGATATCTGTGAATCACGTAAATGTACTAACACTGTTCAAGATTTTTAGTAGCCATGACAAATACTGAGCGATTTGAGAATTTGCCTCTGAAAATGTATTTCGTGTATCGCTTGCATAAGCATCTTTGTTTCCTTCCACAATTTAAAAAAAAAAAAAATTAATCACTTAAAATGTAAAATCCGTTTTTTGCTGAACACATTTGTCACATTCCAGGAACAAACATTCGTGTAAAAACAATCTGTAAAATTTCTCGTCATCTTGGATTTTAGAAGTAACAAGGACACTGTAGCTTGTGAGCAGATTCTTTTCGTTTTAACTTTCAGGAAGAATTTAAAAATTTTAAGCTGGCTGGGGAGGGGAAGAGTGGGTCAGCTAATATTTAAAACTTCATAATTTTTTTTTTTTTGAATTTAACAATATCTTAATAACATCTTAAATGGGAGAAAAACATCATCCCTTCACATTTCAGAGTGCTATATAACATTTGCGTAAGTTTCGAAATTATACCATCTTGAAATTTACAAATTTGCACCTCGCAGAACCCTTTCATATGTATCTTATGTATAAACTTATGGTTATGCGTCACAATCCTCATTCAATATTGTATATATCTTCTGTAACAAAGCTATCCTCGGTGCTTTCCCTTTGATATGATAAAACTTGAATAAAACGTTGAAGGCGTGGAACATCGATCCATAATGTGGTAAACATATGTATGAAACGTGTTGTGTTCTATTTTTTACAAGTATATTGGATGACATCGTTTAAAATAACAATAAAATCTTGCTTGCGTTCAAATCTTATGTTTGCATCTGCGTTTGTGTATGTTAACACAAACTGTAGTTAATAATGTATTTTATAACAAACTGTGTAAATGCACTCTTCGTGTCAACATTGTGCTTTCAGTATCAGACCTAATTGAGTCAAGAATTTACATCACAACACTTTTCTTTAGCAGACCTTACGTCCTTCTTAGGACGTTATTTTTTGTTATTTGAAGCCCCACTCTGGCTTTTGCCAGGGGCCGCAATATAGGCAGGTCATCATTATGGCCAAATGTCTGAACGCGGTTTCTGGGACCTCTCCACGGTGATCCTCATCCGCATGGTGGCACTTTGTGTCATCGGGTGTTTATCGCTTGTGTGATGTCCTGGTGGGGTAAAAAGCCAATCCAATCACAACACTCGGTGCATTCATACGTGCTTCGTCCCCAACCCCAGCAGCCAGAGCAGAGCTCCAATACTAATGGTGCCAGTCGTAGTCTGGTTGTATGTCTGTCTTGCCTTTCCTCTAAGCGCAGTGTACCGGCCGAACCCTATGGTCACACCCATGTGCATCATTCTCTCCAGGCCATAGTGATCTAGTTTCTCTTCGTACTTCGTTACTTGTTTTTAAAGGGCTCTGACAACATCTTAAAACAAGAAATAAACTATTTTCGACAATGGCAAGGAAGACAACTACATCATCACAAGATTCTTAGGAATTATTCGTAAGCTGTGGAGAAGTTGGTTTTATACACGAATGATAGCCCGGCTCGCTAGCGTAGCTGGCTAAACCGGATTGCGTGGTGACCGGGTGACGAACTCCTTGTGGTCCGGGTTCACGCCCGGGGGTAGGCAGAAAAGCCACATTTCTCCCAGATTTACGGTATCTATCATGGTATCAAGACTGAAGGGTTGCAATATCAATAACACCGAGCCTTAAAAAAAATACACGAATGATGAAAATATGTTTAAAAAAAAATAAATTATGAAGATATCTTAAAAAAAAACAAAAAACTAACCCACGAGGATTACTGATTGCCCACATCGGAATGAGACAATTTACATTCTTTGATCATGTGATAAGAAGGAGACAACTAGAGAATTCATACGTTGAAAGACTAAAACGACCGAGGGAGGAGGGGGAGGGGGGGGGGGGGGCAAGAGGGGGGGCCGACGACTCCCTCAAGGGGGTTGTAGACGTTTTTGAATTATATTCAACACACGGGAGTAAAAAGAGCGGGCTTTTTAATCAAGTTGCAGCTGGTACAGTTGACGTGACGACTCTTCGTTGGCTGCTTAAGAAGGGGGCGGGGCACAGTTGGGGAGAATGCCAAGGCATAGAAGATCATCACTGTCAGAGCTGACTGAAAGTACACGTGACGGAAGGTTGTGAATACACATGACTATCAATGCCACACAGCATGGACCTTAAGGAGACATTATTCCTCATAAAAGTGTAAAGTCGCAGTTACCACATTGTGAATCAAACCTACCGTCTTCAGGTGGTGACGTCGCCCTGCTGTATGAACATGTTTTCCTAATCGCTTGGCCACCCAGACACCGAACGAACAAACTGTATTTTTTAAAGGGTTAAGTAGCTGGGCACGGAAGCCCATCTGCCCTTCTTGGAGGTCTCCGCCCCCCACGCCGTTCTTTCGTCAAGTAATAGCAGTAAACATTATCAAGAAAGATCATTTGGTGGAAAGAGTCTGCGCGCTCAAATGGCTAGTTACGCAACTGCGTTCTATTGATAGTATTCAAAACTTCAGACCTTCCTCTCTCCCTCTCTCTTTCACACACTCCCTCTTTCACACACACACACTCCCTCTCTCTCTCTCTCTTGTATGTATCTTTTTAATATGCGATGGATATTCAAGAAAGTATACATAGATGAAAGTGTATCCATCATTTTTAACCATCAATTTAGATTGTATACTCTGCAGCCAGATGTATCAGAAATTAAAGATTGAGGATTCAGAACTTTGCCTTTGTAGACAGACAGCACAGTAGGTCAGGCCAGCTCACGACACTCAGAGGAAAGGAAAGGCAAGATGGACATTTAAACCAGACTAGGACCGGTACCATGAGTATTGATACTCTGTGAGGGCTGCTGAAATTGGGGATGGAGCGCATATGGGAATGCCCCAAGTGCTGTGATGTCAATTCTTGATTCAACTCAACTCCAAGTTCATTTGATTATCTACCCTTCTCTCTATACAGTCCAGTCTGTTAGCTCTCATGATGCCAGTAACTAATAGTGATTTAAACAAATCATAAATTTCATTGTTGCTTCTCACTCTTCATTATTTTTATCTTTTATTCATCAGAACTTTCAAATCACTAACAGTAGATCAAAAGTGAGCTCGATCGTTTATTCAACCACTTGTCAGCAACAAATGTAAAGTCATATAAATGCAACACATTATATCATCTGGTGAAGTCGGCTAACATGGCTACTACTACCCTTGCAGTTTTATCACAGCTGTGCACGAAGAGATTCTGAGCAGTCATTTCAAGAATAACAGATCAAAACCTTGTAACAATCTGGAAAGTGCTTGATAATTCTTTTTTTTTCTCTCTCTTTTGGGCCTTTGAGGTTTTGAACTGTCAAACAAGACCACAAACACCTGAGCACATTCTGCAGACCTGCCCACTCTACCTACAACTTAGAAAAGACACCTGGCCTCAAGAGCAAAGTGTGCAGAACAAGCTATAGTGAAAACCATGCAGGACCTGCAGCTGACATGCGAGTTCATAGAGGCAACCTGCCTGATTGTCTAATCTGAGAAGAACTATTACAGAAATATTATTAGAATACTATTAACCAAGAAGAAAAGCACTAACATCGTAATGAGCATAAGGTGAATTGGCTCATAAACAGCATCCTGTCCCAAAAGCTGAAGTATTTCAGCCATGTTAAACATCAAGGTGGCTGGAAGAAAATGGTGACGGAGGGTATATTTTCTGGAAAAAGAGGAAGGGGCAGACCTTAGTGAGTGTAAACACAAGACATTTCTTCTTCTTCTTCTTCGCGTTCACCAGCTGTAAACTCTGGCGGAAGGTTCTGGTTGCTCGTCTACTACTGAACTGCAGTCCTGCTCCAGAACCTGAGTGTTGCGTGTGCATCAGTTTTACAGATCTCATTCTCTTGAATACAGACTGTTGGTTCCTTGCCTCTCCGGCAGACGCACTCCGTCTTCAAAGGAAGCTCCCCAATTAGTTGACTCTTACAACATGCTTTTGGGGAGGCAGTGGGTCTATTCTTGTTTTCCCCACAATGGGGCCCCGGAACCCACACAGGGGGCAAGACATTTAAAATGCATTAGCTTTGAAAGCAAAAAGGGCTGGAGAACCGGCTAGAGAAAGAGAGAGACTTTCAGGCCTGCAGTGATAAAAGTGAAGCTCTATGAAGGACCTACTGACTGATGATGATGTTGGACCTTGCAGTTTCATATTAGGAAGAGGAACCTGAGGTGAGCTGTGGTGTGTACATTATACATGAAGATATTTATATCCTGCTGCCATTGATCTTTCTTTGGGATTTGGGCGCAATAGTAGCACAGACATCAGAAGGGAACATCATTTTTCAGCCATGTTATAAGAAAAGGTCAAATGGAACATCATGTGACCACTGAAAAGATCTGTGAAAGGAGGGATAGAGGAAGACACCGAGAGAAGATTCTTGATGGTCTTGTTGCACGGCATAGAGATGTGTCAGTACACGAACTGATATATGCTGCAGGAGATTGCGGATTGTGAAGAGGCATGATCGCTTAAACCAGTCGGCAAGGCACCTGATGATGACGATGATAAATGAGTAGCATAGAGACTAGTCAGTTGCACCAGCCAAAAGTCT